TGCATTGAAGGTGACCACAGTGCCATTTGCCAGTCCTACATACAGGATTCGCCATCGACTGTGGAGGCAGAGGACCCGGTCTTCCAGCTTTAACTGCTCTATGCACATGCGGGTCTAACAAAAGGACGTAACATCTAATGAGTGGAGAGTAACGGCAAAGGAAATACGAAAAGAACTCTACTGAAAGTAAGAGTTTAAAGTTTCTCTGACAGGGAAGAAAACCTGGCATCCTCTGTTTTATAGAGGACTATCTTAGATCTTTTTCCTCTTTGAAACGGAGGCCAGAGACCTCTCCCTCTGCCTAATAATGAAAACAATACAAGTTCTAATAATGATACCTATGTTTCTAATTAAGAATATAGACAGGGCCGGGGATTTAGCTCAGTGGTTCTGCCGCCTGCCTCACAAGCGCAAAGTTCCAAGCTAGATCCCCAGTACGGGGGGCAAAAAAAAAAAAAAAAAAAAAAAAAAAAGAATACGTTGTTCAAAAGCACTATCTTACCCTCTTAAATTAAGCGGACAAAAATAAAAGATAAGGCAGTATTTGAAAACTAAAAAGGAAAATGGGGATTATAGGTATATATTTGATACATGCATTAATCAAAGGTGCTTTCCTGCAATTGATTCTAGTTTATTACCTCCTAAATACCTCCTTCAACCTAGTACCAGGTTAACTGAACCATAGTTATCCAGGAAGCTTTTTTTGTTTTTTTCCAGTACTGGGGAATGAAACAAGGGCCTTCATGCTGAGTTACATCCTCAGACACCCACTACGTTCCCTTCTTGAGACATCATCCCATCACTCAGGCTGGGCTCAAATTTGGGATCCTTGTGCCTCAGGCCCCAAAGTACTGGGATTATAGGTGTACACCACTATGCCCGGCTTCCAGGAAGCTTTTAAAATATGTAGAATCTCAACCTCCAATTCAGTTAAACTTAGGAATTTGTACTTCGATTTTTTTGTTCTGTATTTAGACAAGGTCTCGTCATAATTCAGGTTGGCCTCAAATTTGCAATCCCAAGTGCTGGGATTATAGGGATACCCTACCATACTGGGCATCCATTCATTCATTTAGATTAATTTTCTTTGGTACCAGGGATTGAACTCAGGTCCTTGTGCTTGTGAGGCAGGCGGCAGAACCACTGAGCTACATCCCTGGCCCTCATTTAGATTAATTTTGTCATTTAGTCAATCATTCATGAATCATCCATTCACTCTCAATCATTTGGTCAGCCTTCCAGATTCAGCCATTCATTCATTAAGCAATTTATTGACTCAATCAGTAATTAGGTCCTTCACTGTCGTGTCATTCGCTCCACTGTCAAGTCCTTGGCAGTCGTGGCGTCATTAGGTCATTTATTCATTCACTCATATTCCTTTGAATTTCACTAGGTCATCACTCACTGGGTTGTGACATTTAGCTGTTCAGGCATTATCTGGCCAAGCATTTATCAATTTGTTCAAAGTCAGACAGCCAGTCACTGAGTCATTCATCTGGTTAGTCATGAGTTATTAGGTCATTTGAGCATTCACTTAGCTGGTTATTTCAGCATTCATTATTCATCCCATCAGTTATTTGGCCATTCATTAGACCATTCAGTCATTCACTCATTCCCTTGGTCAGTTACTAGGTCATTCACTTGGTCATTTGTTCACGTCATCATTGTGGTCTGGTCACTCAGTAAATCAGTCACTCACTCTGCCAATCATTCATGCTTAGTCATTGAGACAATGGTTCATTCCCTGAATCATTTGTTCAATCGTTCATTCAAACATTCACTCATTCAGTGTTTGGGTTCTTTGGTCATTCTTTACTGAATCAGTCACTGAAGCATTAACTCAGCACACTGAGCTACATCCCCAGCCCTCTTTGAGATAAGGCCTTAATTGCTAAACTGTCCAGGCTGAGCTTGAATTTGTGACTCTTCTGTCTTAGCCTCTGAGAGTGCTGGGATTATAGGCATATACTACTATTCTTGGCTCAATCTGTATTTTAAAAAATTTCCCTAAGAGGGGCCAGGGATTTAGCCACTGCCCGCAAGAGCAAGATCCCAAGTTTGGTCCCTGGTACCCGCCCAAAAAAAATTTCCCTAAGGGGCTGGCAAATAAGGGGCTCAGTGGTAGAGTGCTTGTCTAGCATGCACAGACTCGGTTTGAACCTAGCATTGCAAGTAAACAAAAAGTTCCATAATAATTCAGATGCTCAGGCAAGTTTAAGGAGCACTGTTTGTTATGACCTTTAAGAAATCATTTTCATTAATTTCCCAGAAATTAGGTAACAAATTAATCTAAAACTGAAAGACAGGCCATTTAAACAGTAATGAAGAACTATTGCTGTGGCTGGTTCAGTGGTACACTACTTGGCCTAGCACATGGGAGGCCTGGGTTCATCCCCAGCATTGCGGAAAAAAAAATTTTTTTTAGTGGAACTAAGTGACTAAAGGTCCAGGTAAACCTCTTTACGCAGGTTTGAGTACAGGTGTTAAAATCAAGATGGCCAAAAATGGGGAAGATAAGAGCTGTATATAGGATGAAAAAGTTGTCAGCTGTCAAATCCTTTAATCTCTTCTTCTCAACCTAGTTTTATACCTAAGAGTCAGTTTCTTAAATTATTCAGCTTTCCCTCATAAAATTACAAATATAAATGCTGCATATGAATTGTAAAATACAGCCAAACACTATAAATATGACAAAATATTAAGATTTATATTCCCTCTGGTTAACATGTGAAATCCCGCACAGGCTTCCTATGCCAAGCACTATATATCTTAAAACCTTCAAGCATACTTGACTGAGCTGGGTGGGGTGGCTCATGCCTATAATCCCAGCACTCTGGGAGGCTGAGCCAAGAGGATCACAAGTTCAAGCACAGCCTAGGGAACTTAGGGAGACCCTGTCTCAAAAAAGAAAAGAAGCCCCTTGGTTCAATATTAGTACAATAAACAAACTGAAAAATCTCGGGTTTTTTTGAATTTTATCAGTCAAAATAGTATTGTGCTTTTGTTTTAATTTGCATTTATTCGCACAATTATATTCAGTTATTTGTATTTCATCTAAGAACCTGTTTCTGTCTTTGCCTACATATCTATTGTGATTTAAAAGCAAAAACTTTTTACAACACACATTAGAGCTATTTTCCTTTTTTTATATGACTGTTTCTTGCCAAAATATGCTTACATTTTTTTACCTCAATAAAATATATGAGGTGGGATCAAAATATACAGTGAATGTTTAAATGTTTTTAAAAACTTGGTACAGTAAGGCACTGTTAATTTCCTTTCAACACCCCCCACCCTGCCCACTTTGAACACACTTATCCCATCAGTCTTGCCACTTTGGAAGTTCTCTTGTGTTTTATGAGATGTGATAAAAAATATGGTGGATTTGGGCCGGGTAATTAGCTCCGTGGTACCGTGTCTGTCCCCCAAGTGCAAGGTCCTGAGTTTGATTCCTGGTACCAAAAAAAAAAAAAGGTAGATGCTAATGTCATTCAAAGGGAAGAGAGCCTCATAAAAACATTTTGGTGTCTGTCCTTATTTTCCTTATTCACTGAATGGCACTGATGAGGCTCTGTGTGACTTCTGGCTCTTCCCCAGAGTCAAGCTGAAAGGTAAATGCTTTGAATTGATTCAGGACATCAAGCCAGCCACGACAGAGCAGCTAAAGGTACTCACAAAAGGACTTCCAGAATTACTTCAAAAAGTAGCAAGAATCATGGGATGAATAAGTGTGGTCAAAGGGTGGGGAGGCCACTGCGTTCTCTTTTGCATGTGGCCCACCCTTACACTGTGGGGTGTAACTTCTTTTCCAACTTTTGCACTTGGCCCAAACTCACTCTGCAGAGTCTGTTTCTTTTCCTACCTTTATTAAAACTTTGTTACTGTTAAAAAAAGAAAAAAAAAAGAAGGGGAATGTTTTGGAGAAAGATTAATGGCAATGGTAGCAAATTTTTAAAAAAACACATTCACTGTATTTTGCAATGAACTTGCAGTTTCCATATAACAAAATTTGTCCATATTAAATACCCATTTTAGGGCCGGGATTTAGCTCAGTGGCACCATGCCTGCCTCACAAGTGCAAGGTCCTGAATTCAATCTCAGTACAGGAAAAATTAATAAAGACTTACACACACACACACACACACACACACACACACACTGACACACACATTTTGTTAAGCTCTGGTAAAGTATACAACCTGTGAAAACATTTCCATAATTAACCTGCAGAATATCCCAACACCCCAAAATGTTACCGTGTACCATCTTTCAGTGGATCCTTACCATACCTGAAAGTGACCACAACAGCTGTACCTATTTTAGGATTTCATATAAAGAGAACACAGTACAGTCTTTTACAATGAGCTTCTTTCATCTAGCACAAAGCTTTTGAGATCCATCACACTGCTATGGGCATTAATTTTTACTTTTTTTGCCAGCATTATTCTACTGCTTATATACCATATTTATTTTTACAAACCATATTTTGTCTATCCATTTACCAGTTGGATGTATTGGCTGTAGTTTTCTTTTTTTTTTTTTTTTTTGGTGGTACGGGGGATCCATCACACTGCTATGGGCATTAATTTTTACTTTTTTTGCCAGCATTATTCTACTGCTTATATACCATATTTATTTTTACAAACCATATTTT